AATTATCAGGCAAGATCTGGTCATCTTAGAAATAACATTGCTGTGTACAGTTTTATGCATATGTTTTGCCTGTGTGTGTTCACATATCTGCTGAGTATTTAGGAGTGTAATTGCTGGGTCACAGAATATGCTTACGTTCATCTTTAGCAGATTCTGCCAAGCAATTTTCCAAAAAAGGTTGTATCAATTTAGGATCCCATCAGAAGTGTGTACAAGAGTTACCGTTGCTTCGTATCTGTGCCACCACTTGGTATTGCCAGTTTTTAGAATGGTAGTTGGGTAGTTCTAGCTCATATTATCTTGTATTTCCCTGGTGACTAATGTTGAACACCTTTTCATATATTTTGTGAATATTGTGCCAAGTACCTTGCCCATTTTTGTAAATGGACTGTGCTTTTCTCACTGATTTATAGGAGCTTTTTATTCTAAATACAAGCCTTTCACTGGATATATGTATTGCAAATATCTTTCCCTGTCTGTGGCTAGCATTTTCACTATCTTAATAGCATCTTTTGATGAACAGAAATTTTTAATTTTATTAAGTCCAAATTGTCGGTCTTTTCCATTATGGTTTTGCTTTTCATGTCTTTAGAAATCATTGCCTACGCTACAAGTTGTGGCCGATTTTTATAATAATGGCCCCAATGAATCGTGCCTCTGTGTCCACACCCCTGACGTTGCCATTCTTCCCACTGAGAGATGGGGTCCATTTCCCCACCTCTTAAATCTGGGATGGCCTTGTGACTTGTTCTAACCAATCGAATCCAGAAGCAATGCTGTACAACGGCCGAGACTGGCCAAAAAAGACCTTTTGCAGCTTCTGCTTTTGCCATCATGCTGGTCAGAGTGTGAATTGGAATAAACTCTGGGAAACTGTTTGAGCTTTAGCCTGCTGGAGGATGCGAGGTTATGTGAAGGAGAACAGGCATTCCAGCTGACGGCCAGCGTGCCAGGCACGTGAATGAGGACAGCTTCCCAGTCAAGCCATTAGATGATTGTAGACTCATGAGTGGCTCTGGGCAGGACCAGAAGAAACTCCTAGAAAACCCACAGATTGATCTTGGTTGTGTTAAACCGTTAAGTTTTAGGGTGGTTGGTTTTATAGGAATAGATACTATTTATAATAGGAAAACATCAAACACCTACAAATAGATCTAGCTAAAGATGTACTAGAACCTCTATGCAGAAAACCCCAAATACTTCTGAGAAAAATTAAAGACCACCTAAATAAATGGAGGACTGTATACCATGTGTGAATCAGAAGACTCAATACTGTAAAGATGTCATTTTCCCCCTAAAATGGGTCTATAGATTTAATGCAATCTCATTCAAAATCTCAGATGATATATTAATGGCAATTGACAGGCTGATTCTAAAATTTATATGGAAATACAAACAACTAATAATAGCGTAAAGAGTCTCCTTGGACCCAAGTCAGCAAACTACACACCTCAAGTTACATCTGGCCTACTGCCTGTTTTTGTAAAGTTTTTTTGGAACGCAGCTATCCCATTTGTTTAAATATTTTCTATGGCTATTTTTGTACTGCAACATGGAGTTAAGTAGTTGCAACAGAGACTGTATGGTTTGTAAAGCCTAAAATATTTACCATCTGCCCTTTTTATTATTAATATTCAGTTTTTCCCCTCTATTGTAATAGTATTTTAGTTATACGTTCCTTTTTATTCTTCAAGATTTCCAAGGATCGTAAGTGAAAGGCTGAGGTACGTACCAGGGCCCCACTATCTTGGCAGGAATTGAGTCATTTTCGGCTCTCCAGCTCTGTGAGATGAGAAATCTCTGCCTTCTTCGTCTCCCAGGTGCTGCCGTGTGGCTTCTTAGGGTCTCCTCCTGCACGCGGTGAACACGGGAGCAGCAAGCGCCCCGAGGGGAAGCTGCACGCACAGTGCTGGGCTCAGTTCTCTGTAGTTCCCTTTTGTCCAGGGTCTTGGCCCTTAGTATCTACCTCTGATAGCCCTGTTTGCCTAGCCCAGGGAAGCCGTGGGGCACAGACTCCAGGCTACTTCTTCCTGTTCAGCTTGATGTCCAGGGACGTGAAAGAGCGGTGTTTACCCCTGGAGTAGACACTGGGACCAGGGTAGGGCTCACCTCGGCCCTTTTCTCTAACTCTTGTCTTTTATTTAGCAGAATAAAAATCAGCAATAATGATGTCGAACAGTTCCCCCCGCCCCAAAAAAAAGGCTGTATAACTAGGTATACAACATAAAAATTATATTTAGTAAGACTAGGCCATTAAATAATCAACTGAAATTATTCTTTTCAAATTTATTAGTATACTTGGATAAACTGGACCAGATTAGCGATGATAATTAAGTGCACAGACATTTTAACAATTTGTCTGAATAAAGATTAATGTACAGATTCCATGGTAGACGTCAACTGAATTTGCCGATACAAAGAAATCTGCTGATAGCTTTTGACAGTGGCTGCCATTGGTCACATCTCACTAGAAAAGCTTAACATGTTTTTCTTCAGAGATGCTGTCAAGCAAATAGCCCAGGGGCCAGTGAAATCTGAGGGACTGGAATAAAAGGAACAAAGGTCAAAGAGATTGTTTTTGAAATAACTGAGGTGTCTAATTTTAATTCTTTGCATGTAGAACGTAAGCTACAATGGAGAATTTTAAATGTCAAATACCAAAATATTTTTCAGAGTAGCTACTTAATGTAGCTAGTAGTTTTTCTCATAGTCATAATAATTTATTTTATATATCAGTTTGCTTATGTTTAATAATATCACCATAGAAAAGAACTAGGAAGTCGAAACAACTGATAATACCAAACCATCAAACCCGAGGAGCTTAACCTGAAGGCTCTTGAGGCTTTTTCTTCGGCTCGGAAATTCTGTGTCTCCAGTGTTGTTTTCCACTATACCACAACGCTATTATTTGTATTTGACTGGAAAAAATGTACTTTAAATTAATACCAACTTTAAGAATAGCCCCTGGATAAAGAAAAACCACATTCAGCTTCTACATCCAATATGCTTTGGTGATAACATTTGTCATTCATGACTGTCCAAAAAGAAAGAAAAACAAGGTTTAAAATGGATCCTGTTTCACTAATTAAAACTGACACCAGTCTTCCGAGCATGACACTTCTGCTAAGCAAACGGACCTGGTTAATTCTGTTGCCTTTATTAAATTGACCAGAGGGGAAGCACTTCTTTCATTTCCCATCTTACATTACATAAAGGTCAGGTGTGGATTACGGAGAGTTCCACAAACTGCAAAATGAAGAATATTATTTACTGAAATGGAGCACCACGGTTTCCCATATAGAAGGACCATTTATTGTGTTTTTGTTAAATTGTCACAAGTCTGTGCATGCTGCTGTTATACTGATGGTATCCTGCTTTTGTTTGTTCCATATAAATGATTAGGCTCAAATAGAGAGGAAAGCCTATGCCTAAAACCAATTTTAGAACTTCAAGTTAACTTCGTTGTTTTGTATGGACAGGCTGTTTGTTATATTACCAATTTCATTGTGCGTTATACAGTCACTGTATTAAAATTTACTGTTGCTTATTTTTAGTGGCTAGACAATTGTAAGAGGACATTTGGTGCCAAAGAAGACATGTACAGG